GTATACATACAGACATGAGTACAGTTCTGAGATTAGTTTCATAGTAGAGATGGTGAGCTATGGAGTTACAAAGAGTTCTTGGAATTAGTCCATAGATTCAGTCCAATGTTCATATCCAGGGAGATCCAGGTGGGACTGGAGATCTCCGTCTTACGACTTAAGCTTCCCCTGCATAAAGCCTCAAGCAGATCTGAGATAAAAAGGATCAGGACCCAAGGGCTTTTATATAGTTCCCAGGCCTTCTCTTGACAGCTCAGAGTTCCTAGGCGACCAATAGGCAATCATCGAGACTCTGAAGTAGACCTATTTCCTAAGCATCACCGGTAATTAGCTACATAAATTAACATAAGGCAATTGCCTGTTTTCCACCATTCGCAGGTGATTTGCTATACATTTCAAAGAGAGATCAATACAGTGATATTAATATATTTATAGTTCATTTAAATGTTAAGGTCTCATTTTGGTCTCTGAATTAAGACTACAGCATAGACAGGAACCGTTTGACCTCTAATAATATATATGTAAACACACAAAAACACAAACATTATCTACTAATATGTCCCTAAAGATTGAATTTGGATCATTTGTCTTGCAGGATGCTTAAACCTTTCTGGCCATGTGTCATAGGAGCTTTGTACTCAAAAATGTATGTGGGGTCAGTGTTTTGAAAAGGCTGAACTAAGTTCTACTTATTAGTCAATAGGAATACAGTAGTGGAGAAATGGATTAAAATAACAAAGCAGGCTTACACATGTGAATCTTACTGAAACTTTATTCTTTCCTTGCAAGTTCTGGGTAAGTTGCATGCAGTCTAGACACTTCTCCTGGACTGGGACAGTCAGCCCCTGAAGCGTACTCCATGTCTCACTGTCAGAGAGTCACCTCCAGATTCAGCTGCTCACTCATACTCTTTCCTCTCTAGGCAGGAGTCTTTAATAGTTTAGTGTCTCTTTGATCCTACGCTTAGACCTTGGAAAAATAAACCTGCTGTGGGTATTTCCCAGTTAATAGCTCTGCCAGGGTTCTGTTCAGGAACTGTTCTATCCTGACTTTTTTCTATCACTGATTTGATTCCTCCACCAAAAACCTTTGATTTAACTCCATGCAGTCATACAGAATAATATCAAGCAGGTAAACTGAGGCATTGTAGAAATAATACATAAATTTCCCACGGGCTTCACAATGTAACCAAAGATGATCAAATCAAACCCAGTGTCTACTTCACCAATTATTTATCACTTCTTTCTTTGTCAACCTCTAAGTACTTTCCTACCCATGTGATTGAAATTTAAATATGATTACATTATAAACGAATTTGATCTAACTCTTTAAATTAGATTTTGTGAAACACAGTATAAAATGCTCTAAATAAGGGTTTTAGTTAGTACCTCTACCACATTGTCTTGATCTGCTAATTTAGTAATTCTCTAAAAAGCAATTAGGTTTATCTGGCATGATTTGATATTTATAAGCCTGTTTGCTTACTGCTTATACCTCCTAATAAACTTACATGGGATTTTCAGAAGTGTTCAGTGTTGACCTAATTCTAGTCCCATTGCAGTTAATGGGAGCAGTTAGACCAACGTAGAGTGCTTTTGTCAATCCCATCCTAAACCTTTAGAGATTTTTTTTTTATTTGTTTTATTAAGCTGTGAACTTAAATGTGCAGGATAGTAATTACTAGGATCGCTCTTCTTCCCTTTCCTGAATATCTCGATTACGTTTTGCTTTTCTCCAGTGTCTTGGTAACTGCCCAGTTCTTAATGCTTTTTTAAAAATGGCTTAGTTTGGTAAGTTAACTAATTTCCTTCTTTACATGCATGAATTTGTAGTTCATGTTTTTTCAAATCTGCTTTTATCTGTTTATATCAGAGCTTGTCTACCCTTACTGGGGGATCGATGCATCAGTGATCGATTTAGCGGGTCTAGTGAAGACCTACTAAATTGACCACAGATTGCTCTCCCGTCAATTCCTGTACTCCACCTGAATGAGAAGTGCAAGGGGAGTCGACGGGAGAGCGTCTCCCGCCAACATAGCGTAGAGTGGACCCTGCAGTAAGTAGATCTAAGTACGTCTACTTCAGCTACATTTTTTATTGTTTGTTGGCATGGCCTTGTTATATAGCCCAGATCCTGACACTGGGGAAGGCAGCACCTTTTTGTTTCCTTTTTTCCCCGTCTTTGGCAGGGAAGATATTGGGTTGATTTCAGGGGAGTAACTGCTTTTTATATAGAAGGGATCCACTTATTCAAGTTGTGCGTTTTGCTATGAAACTGAGCATTGTAAATCTTCCTGCTGCTCAGCCATGGTAGCCGGTGAGTCTAATAAGTAGCTGACACAAAGACAGAAAATTCAAAGCTGAGCTGGAACTCAAGTTACTGGTATAGAATATAAAGTCCCACTAGTACTTTGGAGAACTTTATTGGAAACTTGTTTCATTCCTGGCAGCACTACTTCATGTTGGCATGCAGTCGTGTTAACATCTGCTCTCTGTAAGCGGAGCATATATGGTACAGAAATAACACAGAAAGCACCATCCATCTTTACCAATCTGTAGGCTTTTTTATCTCCTTTTTAGAAGGTGCAGGAATAATCTTCAGCTAGCATCAGGGTAACACCAGCTGCTCCAGCTTTTCAGCAGTAGATGAAGGCGCTCGGGTAACACAGAGGCATTCAGTATGTGATGATGAGCATGGGATTAGGTAAAGATTCTGTAAATTAGTAGATCTAACTAGATGGTGTCTGCTTGTAATATTCCTCTTCTTTCCTCTCCTCCTAGGCTGTCCATCTCATCCTTTAATCATCTTGTTCTTTTTCTTCAGGGACTACAATAAATGGGAATCATCAGCATTCTTTGGGAATATAGTCTGCTTTTCTTTTCTTATCCCAAATCCTGTTACCTGGAGTCCGGGCACACTTGGGGCAGGTGGTTTGAAACTGTAGGATTTGCTTTACCTGCCAATTCACTAGAACTCTTGTTTCTTTACTTTCAGGCCACATTACAAGGCCTATCTCTTCTCTCAAGCTATTTCTGTGCCGGGGAGGAGAGAGGAATGAATTGGTTGATGTGGCATGGTAGGAGAGCTCTGAGGTATCTGGTTGGATTTTGAAGTTTGTGTTTAAGACACTGAATTATTTTTATGATATTTGCATGGGTGCCAGCAGCATCCAGAAAGCATTTTAAAAATCAAAATGAATAATTATTAGTCACTGTGGTGCTTTAGGTCTCCGAACCTGCATGGAGAGGTGGCTATGGGCATTTGCATCCTTTTTTTTTTTTCTTCCCTTTATTTCTGCCAGCCTGAATTAATATCTCATTCCTTTAAAACCTGCTAGAGAAATATTTTTAGATGCAGAGTTTTGCAGGGTGCCGCCTGCTGATTTCTCTCTCGCTGCGATTCTCCTCTGCAAAAAGCAGCTTCTAACTCCAGTGGATGCCTCCATGTTGCTGGTCTAAGGGGTTCTCTCTGGGCTAGTTTTGCCTCTCTTCGCTCATTGCCAAGCTCCCAGCATGGTTTGAGGCCTTAAGAGTTTAAAAAAGCAGATTTGTCTTGGCTTTTTAATAGCATTAGCTGTATGCAGTGGTCTTTGTGCATATTACTCCCTGTTCCTCAATATCTTCTTCTTCTCTCCCTCCCCGCACAGTGAGACAAGACTGGAGGGTGGTGGTGGTGGGGGGGAATAGTTGGTTTTTTTTCTCTTTGGCAAGAGAATGAAGTTGAGTGCTGACATATATCATCTTTGATGGAGAAACTCCACAGCGTTCTTTCTGCTATTGATCTGCTTCTTAATTGCCAGGAGGCCTCTTAGTCAATGGGAGACAAGAACAGCAACTTGTTTTCCTTTGCAGATGACAGGAGCCCTGCTGGTCACATATAAACTATGCGCTGAGATCTAGCTATGTGGCCAAGCACTACAACTGCAGACTGTTCAGGCAGATGGGGAGAGAAATGGATGGATTTCCTTTTCTGGGCTTTGTTTTAGATTTGATTTTGATGAAGTAAAGTTTAAGATGCTAATGAGCTGTGGAGTGCAACCTCTGCTCTTCTGTTCCTGGCTCTTCAAATGAGTGGGAAACAGCCACGTAATGGACCCTTCTTCTCAGCCCACATTTCCTTGCTTACTGTTAAAAAGAAATTACACGCACAGCTTGCTGGAGTGGGTTAGGAATTTGCTGCTACCAGGTTTGTTGCATCAGAAAAAGACTTAATATTCCAAAGACTCTAGGAATGAGGATGTGTAGCCCTTGAAGCTTCTTGCTTCCAAAGTGCTCTGCACACATTAGCTTCTCTTCACAACCCACTGGGAGGTAGCCAAGTATTATCCCCATTTACAGATAAGGATCTGGGACCCAGGGCAGAGAACAGACTTAACCATGGTCATGCAATAGGTCAAGCTCAGAATTGGGAATAGAACCATCCCAGTAGTTCATTTCAGAGCAGACTTTGGGGTCAGAGATAGAGTCCAGGTCCTTTTGTGACTCTTCACTATCTTCCTTGCCATATTAGTCTAATATATTAAGCTGTGTGGCTTAAGACTTGTGAGGAAAAGGGGGATCGTTTGTCCATTCTTCAAGGAATACCTGAAGCCCTCCTTTTGTGCTGCAGATAGAAATGAGTTGTTTTGAGGGGGGTGAATTCCTAGTTGGGACTGTTTCTTTTTTCTGTCTCATCTGGAAAACTCACTGTGGGATATGGAATAAATTAAAACTGTCCATGACAAAACAGTGAAGAATAGACTGCAGGGAACAGTCCTGTACTAGCACCTCAGGAGATGAACTATGAGACACAAGAGGCTTGGTGTGTGAGAATCACTTTGAGATTGTTGGTGAAGGTTGCTTTGGGAATACAGAATGTTGAAGGCAGATAGCTTGAGCTGATGGTACCCTGGAGCTCTCTGGAATTACACAATGTGGTAAATTAAGATTGCAGGTGCTTCATTCCTGGGGCCTTGTCTTCTTATGTGTATATTTTAATGTGCAATTTTTTTTGTTTTACTGAAGGGACAATGGAGACAGATCAAGGCACCGAGCTCCCCGGAACGCCCGTATGTCTGCACCGTCACTTGGGCGCTTCGTCCCCAGGTGAGACCTGTACACCCATCTGGAGAATGGGATAGAAGCTTGCATTGCCACTTACAACAGAGCTCTCTGTTGTCATGTCAGAGGCTCAGATTCATTTGCTTGCACGGATCTGATGTGAACTAGGTTATCTGTGTCTGGGACTACTGTGGATGTCTGGCCCTCCTCTTGGAAAAGAGAGGGTGAGATTAGTGTGATTAGCTTTCATAGCCACATTTCCCAGAGCCCTGTCCTGAGCTTTCTTAACTGGAAATGGATGGCTGTAGTGTGGAGCCGAAATGGAAGGGAGGAGAAAATCTGATGGGGATTCTCAGTGAAGCATACTGGGTCAAAGATGAAGGTGTAGGGAAGAGAGGAGATGGGGATTAGATTGCTGGTATAGCTCAGCAGGTCTTCAATTCCATCTTGGCTGGATGGAGCATGTGGTGGTGCAGGGGAGGGTTTGTGCTCCTGAGCCATGACATGCCATTTTTCTGCTGGATGGAGCACTCAGATGACTGGGCTCCTCTCTTTGACCTCCCTTTCCCCCCCCCTGTTAGGGTCCCAGAGCCCAGTACTGCTCGCCCAAATTAGATGGGATTCCTGGACTAGAGCCTCAGTTTCCTGACAACACATTGGAGGTTTTTTCTCAGTGTGTGGGGTGTTTCTCACAGTATGCACTCTCTTTCTTTAGGCGTTTCTTGCTGCCAGAGTACTTACCTTATGCTGGGATTTTCCATGAACGCGGACAGCCAGGGTTGGCCACCCACTCCTCTGTTAACCGGGTCTTGGCAGGTAAAAAAAAATACCTCTTCTGGAATACAGTGACCTGTGCTAGGTGGGATTCTGTCCACAGTCTGCGCATAGCAGGTCAGCCTGGAAAAAGAACCTATGAGAAGTCTGTGTCCATCCTGGTATTGGTATATAAACCTCCTGAACCAGCAGAGGATGTGGAACTAGATACTATAGTGATGGGGTTCATACAAGTACCTAGAAGTTGCAGATACCATACTTTGAGTGCATATTAGGCTCTGTGCTGAGGTTCCCCTAAGGCAGGGGGGAATTTAATAATTCTCCTGATGTTTAATTCCCTCCCCAATCTGAATTTTTTTTTTTTTTAAAGCAAACTGACAGCCTAATGATCAGCTTGCTGCAGGTCCTTCTAATTGAATTATAGGGTGCCTTGTTCATGTTCCGGCTGGCAAGCCACTCACAAGGGAGCGCGGGATTCAATTAGGATCCTAATAAGTGCGTGTTAAAACCTCGGCTGCCACCACATACATCATACAGGCATTTGGGAGCCTTAAAGGGCAGGCGGGGGTGGAGGGGAAGAGGAGTGGGGCTTTGGCAGCCTGTGAATGAAACAGTTTTATATGATAGATGGTATAATTCTTGAGGGTGCTTCTTGGTGGCGTCTGAGCTGCTCTGTGATTAGTACCAGCAGTGGAAAGGCTTTTTTTGGATAAGGGGAAGGCGGGTATCTATGTACCTGCCAGATGGAGATCCATTGGCTGCTGCTACTATTGGCAATGGGGCACATGCGGGAAAGACATAAACCCCCCCGGAAGGCGCGTGGTCTCCCATCTAGTCTTTCTCTCTCATTGTGGCGTGTTCAGGCAGAGGCTACCTGCGTGGGGAGAGCCCCTGTATTTTGCGTGGCTATATAGTATAATGTGCCAGTGTAGCCTTTTAAAACCTCATTGTCATCTGTAAAATCCAGAACTGTCTCCTGGATCTTTGTATCTCACTTGGACACTCAGCCAAGACAATACTTGCCTCCTAGTCATCCTGTCGCAACAATTGCAAGAGTAGCGAAAGCCCAGGCTATGGAGCACCTCCATCCCACTACCTGATGAGTAGGGGAGCCAGCTTGTAGCATTTAGCTGACGCACATACTTTCCTCATGACTGTTGCTTGTGTGGAATTTGGCTGTCGGCTTCTGGAAACAGCTCACTGGCAGATAATTACTTGCTGCCAGGCAACACTGCAGAACTCTTCTGTAGTGGGGCTTTGTTGGATTCATCTGCCTTCAGCCCTCCCTGCACAGCACCTCTTTCCCAGCAGCTGAGGAGCATTCTATCTTTTCCTGGCATTTAGCTTTAAGAGAAGCAGTCAGTTTGCTCCTGGCTTTCAATGACTCCTTTTATTTATTCTGCTTCCTCTTTCTTCATGCTGTTCTGATGGACAGTAATCCAGTGCAAGAGCCCAAGCCCCTCTCAGTGCAGAAAACGTAACCCCCACAATTCATATGTAAAAGCTGCAGCACCCTATCACAGAGACTTCATTAAGCGAAGCAAGCAAGGTGTTTACAGCTCCTCCACTAAATCTCCCAATGACCAAGGTCCATCCCAGTCTATTCCATGGCAAGATGGACCTAAATTCTATGGCAAGGCTCCTTGGTTTCTGCAGCATTCCAGTGCATCAGACTGGAAATTGTGCTGCAAGTCCAAGTAACTTCCACAGTGGAGTTTTTATTGAATGATTTTAATTGAAATGCTACATCCCATCAGTGCAGCGGCTCCTTGTGGTGTTTGTTTTAATATTGAATTCAGTTTATTTTACTCCCTCCTCATTTTCGGTTTTTGACATACCACAGATTTAAGTGTTAACAAGTAACTGCATTATAGAAATTGGTGGAGGTCGAAACTTCGCTGGAGGCCCAGGGGGCTTTTGGAACTGGAGGGAGCTTGGAATTGTGGAATAAGCACATTCACTCATTATTTTTGCTAAAACGATTAGCAATGAAATAGCTGAGTGTTAACACAATGGAGTATTAGCTCTGAATTTTAATATTTGAGATAAAAGACCAGTTCACACTGCTCAGAGCTATTGTTTCAGGATGCCTGCTGACTTGGGAAGGCCACGCTACATTGGTTTATAGTTGTATCAAGTATGGAAGGCTTGGAGCATACTTTTTTGTGAAAACCCTGAAACCTATATTCTTTAACACTGTTCCAGGATGGGGTAGCTTCTGTGCAAATTTCCTGACCAGTTAATACCCAAGACCCTGCCTATTTGTTGTTTGTATTATTGTAGCATCTAGGAGGCCTAGTCAAAGACCAGAACCCCATTGTGCTAGGCGCTGTACAAAGAACAGAAGACTTGTGTCTGCCCCAAAAGGTATGTCTACACTAGAACAAAAGACCGTTCCCATTCACGGGGTCCCAGAGCTTGGACTCCAGCCTGAGCACAAATGTCTACACCGCAATTTTACAACCCTGCAGCCTGAGCCCTGTGAGCCTAAGTCAGCTGACCCTGGCCAGCTGCAAGTATTGAATTGCTGTGTAGACATGCCCAACTAGTTTTTACCATCTAAGAGGCAAGACAAGAGGCCACAGGTGGCTATGGACAGATAGACCAGAAAATCAAGGAAACAGTGAGACAGTATTGGTCAGCATGATAGGCTGTGGTCTCGATGCACCAGCTGTCTAACCGTTGTTAGTTTTTTTGTAGGTGTTACAGCAGAGAAGAGTTTTAAGGTGGATAATGTGGTAACTCTGTGGATGTTTATGGGGAGCTTCTCCCATATGGGGGGCAGCATGAGAGAAAGCACAAATGTGCTTGTTTGAAAAATATAAGAAAAGTGGGGGGTTGGAGGGCTTCAGAGGCTGATCAGAGGCAGGAGTCTACATTTCAGTAGCGAGTGAGAGATAACTAAGGTGGGGATTGACTATGAAGGGCCTTGAAAGTGAAGACAAGCGACTTATGTTTGATGTGATAGAAAAGGAGGATCCAGTGGAGGGATTCAGAAAGAGGGGTGACATGGTCAAAGTGATGGGGTAAGAGAATGATCTTTGCAGCAGCATTCTGAATGGATATGAGTGGGGTAAGACTGCATTTGGCCAAAGAAAAGACTATTGCAGTAATTGAAATGTGAGATGATGCTTGTACAGGAGAATTAGCTTTGTGGTTAGACAGAAAAGGCTAAATCTTAGAGGTTTTCTGCAGAAAGAATCAACAAGATTTAGACACAGCCTGGGTGTGAGAACCTACAGTGAGGTCCAAGTTGAAGGTAACACCCATGTTACGGGCCTGAGTTAACAGGCAGGATGGTGGTGGTGTCACCGGGGTTGAGAAAGGAGGTAGTGGGGTGGGCGTGGAGGGGAAGAACAATTTTAGCCACGTTTCACTTGAGCTCATGGCTAGACATCCACAAAATGTCAGATTTTAGTTTGGACCGAAAGAAATTAGTCTGCAGTAGAGAGGTAGAGCTGTGAATCATCAGCATAGAAATGGTAGTTTAATTTGTTTGTGGATGAGATAACTCGGAGATAAGCCGGAGAAAGGAAAGACTGTGTCATTGGTCCCCTGTGGAGCCCCCACAGAAGGTTGAAGAGGGAATGAGGAGGAACCTATGGAGGACATATTGAAGGAGTAATTATAGAAGTAGGAGGGAGAACCAGGAGAGGGAAGAGTCATGGAAATCAAGGGAGGACAAGATTCCAAGAAGAACATAGATATCTGTGTTGAAGGCAGCTGATGGTCAATAAAGGTGAGGGTGGAGTACGGGTTCTTAGATTTGGCTAGAAAGCGGTCGTTAGACTTCAATGGGAGTGGTTTCAATAGGGTGCAATGGGAGGAAGCCAGATAGGAGAGGGTCTAGGATGGAGTTGGAGGAGATGAGCTCCTGTCTGCAAATTGAATGAGTTTAGAGATGAAAGGGAAGTGGGAGATGAATTTATTAATCTCTAAATCCTTCAGATGTTTACACCCCATGCATGGAAAACTTATGGCTCTTCCAGGAATGCCCATCTCCCACAGACTTGCCTCCGATCCTCTGAGCAGGAAAGGTCTGTGTAGTTGTTTTGCTTTCTCTATTGCCAACCACTTTAGAAGGGAAACGCCTTCTGAATGAGACATGCCAGTTGGTCACTGAACACCTTTGGAATATCCATGCTGAACCAGCTTGGCTTTGCAGCAATCTGGAAAAAAAATTCTCCTAGATTATAAGGCCAAAAGGGACCATCGTTATCTAGTCTGACCTCCTGCATTACATAAACCATAGGACTTATCATAGAATCATAGAATATCAGGGGTGGAAGGGACCTCAGGAGGTCATCTAGTCCAACCCCTGGCTCAAGCAGGACCAATCCCCAGACAGATTTTTGACCCAGATCCCTAAATGGCCCCCTTAAGGATTGAACTCACAACCCTGGGTTTAGCAGGCCAATGCTCAAACCACTGAGCTATCCCTCCCCCCATTCTCTGTATTCATTCCTCTTTGAACTAGAGTGTGTCTCTTAGAAAAATACTGTGTCATGATTTAAACATTTCTGTGATGGGGGAATCCACCATAACACTTGGTAAATTGTTCAAATGGTAAATTACCTTCACTGTTAAAAAGTTGCACCTTATTTCTAGTCTGAATTTGTCTAGCTTCAGCTTCCAGCCATAGGATCTTGTTATACCTGTATTTGCTCCATTGAGGAACTCTGTATTATCACATTTCTGTTCCCCATGTAGATACCTATAGACTGTGATTTAAGTCACGCTTTAATAAAGAGAAGGTTAAGCTGAAGAGTGAGCTCTTTGAGTCTTTTTCTGTAAGGCATGTTTTCCAGTCATTCTCATGGCTCTTCTCTGAACCCTCTCCAAGTTATCAACATCTTTTTTAAATTGTGGACACCAGAACTGGACACAGCATTCCAGTAGTGGTCACACCAGTGGTAATACAACCTACGTATTCTTGCTCGATATAGACCCCTGTTTATGCAGTCAAGGATCATATTATCTTTTTTGGCCACAACTTTGAACTAGGAATTCATGTTCAGCTGATTATCCACCACCACACCCAA